TACAGCCTATCACCCGACTGCCAACGGGATGGTCGAGCGGTTCTACCGCACCTTGAAGTCCTCCCGCCGCGCCGCGGCCGGTACGGAGAGCTGGACGGACTATTGTAGGCGTATGGAATCCCAAGCATTAAGTGATGCTAATTCTTCCAGATCTGTTGCTCAAGTCTTCCGTCTTCGGTCATTGGCTTAGCTTCAGAAAGTCATTCTGCCCTAACTCGATAGTAACAAGCATTTTGTTACAGAGTATTCGGACAAAACAGAATTGTTAAATTCCGTTTTCACTGATTTATTTACCATGGAAACTAGCCTCACTCCCGCAATCCTTCTGTTGTGTGATTTAAATCTCACTACCATTGATTTCTCACCTTCTAGTACTCAAAAAGAAATCAGTCGTCTTAAAAATTCACATTCGGTTGGAGCTGATAATATTCCAAACTGAATAATTAAACAATTAAAAGATTTTCCAACTGTACTGAGTAAATTATTTTCAGCATTTCTCGAGTTCGGCTTTTTTCCTTAATTACTGGAAAACTTATATTATAATACCCCTTTTTAAATACGGTTCCCGCTTGGATATTCATAATTATCGTGGTGTTCATAAAACGCCCTCTCTGGCTTAACTCTTTGAAAAACTAATCGCCAAAAATTACAGATTTTTCCATATGCAATAAAATTCGTAACTCCTCACAACATGGCCTTTACCGGACCGATCACATGTCACATGTCTTTCCTAAATCTACTTTCTTCTCTTGTAATGATCATTTATCTGTGGTAGTTATCTATTTTGATCTTAGTAAAGCATTCGATAAAGTACTTCATACGCGGCTTCTAGCCAAACTAGAGGCTATAGGATTTCCTAGTCCTCTTACTGACCATATCTACATAACCGAAAACAAGAGGTCTTAGTGGGATCCTCATACTCGAATGCCACCGCAATTTTGAGTTGTGTCCTTCAAGGTACCGTGCTAGGTCCTCTATTGTTCCTGCTTTACATAGCTGATATTTCATTGAGAGTTAAACACTATCAATCATATTTTTATGCGGATGATCTTAAGTCTAACCACTACATGTGCAGGCCGGGTCGCCATTCACAGGCGCACCAGTGATGCACCACAAAGTGGGACAACTTCTATCCGATCTCAAGTCTATTTACTACTTCCCTAACTCTATGGCCATGTGGTGCTTAGAAAAAATTCATTCGGGCATGCTTTCACGTGTTTTTGCGATGTGATAGAGTTCGTCGGCTGCTGGAACCCCCTACGACGGCCCATCCCGGATTGTTTATCGAGGTGAGAAGACCTTCCGTATCCTTCGCGGAAAACAAGAGGTTGTAAGCGTGAACCGCCCCAAAGCCTCTGTCCCGGACATTCCGCCGGATGAGCGCTTTGGTCCCATTACCCCAGCTCCCTCTATCCCTCCTTCCCGTCTGCTTCCCCTTCTACCATGTCACTGCTATTGGCGGTTCCTCCTCCCTGACCTACGTCCACCATTCATGTCACAAGCCCCTCTTGAACTGCACCTCCTGCATGCATTACCCGCAGTGGACGCCACTTTCACTTTCCTGACCGACGTGTTTCTCACAATTTTTAGACTTTTATTTTTTCTTCGGCGTCGTTTCTTTACGCCGCCTTCGGTCTAGCCTGGGCGTACTGTGGCGAGGTCCCGGACTATTCGCGACCTTTTGACATTCTCGCATCCAATTTCCTTGATTGTCCCCAGTGTTTGAATTCACTGACAACACCGCTAGGACTTTATCCCTGTGTACATCGAGACCTCGGGTTGTAACTATTTTCGTGATATCTTACATACCTTGCAACTCTTGTTGTTTTTGGTCATCGGTATGTAACTTTTAGTTACGGGCTAAACTTACGGTGAGTCAAAGTGGCCCAACCACAAGTACACCTTAAGAATATGGCGTCGACTACTTCGACAAAAAACATTCGTCTACAAGAGTCCGCGTAACATCTGCAATGTGGCGTATTGTGCCCAAACTGGAAAATCGGCCTCGATACGCGTCCAAGAACATGAACCAACAGAAAAGATGCCAGACCACTTGTCCAAAGTCGTCATGCATAACTTGAAAACTGGACACAAAGTTGTCCGGGATAAAAACGCACACTATTGGTTGGTGTCAGCGCATATAACAAAGGCCGAGAAATTTCGGAGGTCGTCTGCTCCACTGATTCCTGCATTAAGCGACACATCGAGGTGTACTAATCGCAAAGAAAAGTGGGAAAGGGATAGCCAATCAGAACATGATGTCAGACCACAGCATCGACCTATTGGCGGATGGACACGGCAGTACACATTTTCCGCATGTTTAAATCTTAACTTTTTTGCACACATTCAGTACGTCTGGTTACGGCCAGCGTCGAAAATTTACGAATTACAGTTTCGTAGCTCAACAGTAGAGCGTTAGCTGCGCAAAAGCTTTCCATGCTGTGTGGGTTCGACTCTCACCGAGGCCGCGAATTTTCCACAATTGGGTTAACTGGATTGTTCAAATCTGCCCAACCCCTGCCCCCTAATAAGAACTACGGTTTGTTAAATTACCTAAAGGATTCGTTTCCTTTAAAGTATATTTCTTGGGAATACCTACAAGTATATAGAAGAGTATTTACTGCAATGGATAACAATGTACAAAAATGGAAGGCCAAGACGAACAAAAATGTGTCCGGGCTTAGTCCGCTGCAGACGTGCAGTTAGCAAAGCAAACGAAGGTTGACCTTCAGGAAGTCTAGTAAAATCAATCCTTGGCCGACTTGCTTGTACCAGCACGCGTTCCGTGGGCTACCACTCAAAATCCCGATTATATTGACTTCAAAGCAGCCCTAAGAACTTCTGCTCTTTGAGGTAAAAAACTGCGTCGTTCAAACCCCATTGTCCGATGTAGGCTTGAGGAGAAAACTGTTTACACCCCTGTGGAGTTTCACATGATAAAAACCTAATGGTTGACGGGGCATAAGTGGAAAGGGCAGGAGGGTCAGACAGTTGGGGATGGGCGCGAGGTAAATTTTGACTGAAAGAGACGCCAAGAAATGCGATTGAAGAGGACTTCACATTCCAGTTTCTCGGGGTCCCCGGCAACCGCTTCTACACTCATCACCATGGAATTTTCGTATAGCCAACTGCAACGGAAACGAAAAGTTACGTGATATATGCGCCTTACGTTAAAAGGGAAATGCATTGAAATAAAAGCAACTAACAAATCAGTTCACCTAGGAGTCAATGAAAAGTCAGTTTGATGAAGACTGAGGCCGACTTTGAGGCCCAAGAATGATGAGGTAATAAATAAGCTACTTAATTGATTTTCAGTCGCGTGAACTCCAGGCTAGCGGTATGGGCTAACTACCTTACTTGTGTACATCCATATGTTTGATGGAGGGGCGCTGACCAATCGGTTAGGGGACTGACACGTTCCGTTGGGCCTTGGAACTCACTCTCGAGCCTCGCAAAAGCCGCACAACGACTAGTATTATAGACAGAATAGCATAATCGACCAAGGCAAGGTAGGCCGTAGTGGCTACTTCTGGTTTATCAACCGTTATCAGCCAGCTATATCCAAACCTGAGATTTTCGACCCAAGGCTCGAACCCGCGAGCTCGTTGGTTAGAAATCTAGGACTGCAATCGTTGAGCCATGGGCTCGTTGTCCTATTGGTTCCGATAGGATATATCAACGATAGTTTATGGGCGCTCACCAATCTCGTTCCGATAAATAATCGTTCCGTTGTGCCTTAGGGCTCCTTCTCGAGTCCCGTCAGCTGTCACACAGCCATTCCAGTCTCCCTACCCCGGCACCTTAGTATACAGGTTCTGAAGGATACTGGCAAACAAAGTCCTAAAAGTTGGCATACAGCCAGGGTTCTCGGAAATTCGGGTATGACCCGAAACTGCCATAATCCGTCATGGAAATTTAAGAAATGCACAGCCGCAGCAACTTCACAATAGTTGCCGAAACTAGCTACGAAAAAAACGGATAGAGGTTCTAGTGAAGAAGGGAAGGAACACGCAAGCACAATTACAATACTAATTAATGTGGTGCACTTCGATTCAAAAACCGTGACACACTATCACTTCACCGACCGATTAGAACACCTCCAGTCCGAGAGGGCATCACTTAGGCGACACATAGTTATGTTCCCAACACTTACTCAAGGGTCTGGCTCCCCTGTCGCATACGGATGCGTTTCCGCCTCCAACCGAAGGTAGAAATCAAGTTGGACTGGATGAGGTGACAGAGGTGATCCAGACCGGAGCCCGTGGTGCAAGATATTTGGGCGTCTAGTTTCACCGGAGGCAGGAGAGGAAATTCGGGCGAATCGGCACCCAGGTTAATGCTGTTATGGGCGGCGGGGAAGGAGGTGAACGTCAGAGGAATATAGGCGCAATAGGAGTGTTGAAAAGTGTAAAAGAAATTAGACAAAAATGATGCTACCACTGAACTACTTGCATGCAAACAGACAGTTTGAATGAGGTCGTCTGCACCACAGAGCAGGCACAGCAACGCGGGCGTGAGTGTGGTGAAAAAGACTTGCGCACGACTTCCACTGCACTCATTTCTACCTCACCTACTTCACTCAAATGACCAGAGGAGTGGAGATGAGCGCGGGCGTAGTAGCTTTGGAAACTAAACAGTCCGCCCACGCGTACCACACACGTAACCTGATTGCAACATAGGTGAAGCGCGCATAAACTAGTTTATACTGGCATCTACCACACTAGCTCCTCTCTCGCCTACTTTGCTCCGATGGTAGGAGGACCGGAGATGAGCGCGGGCGTGGTGGCTGACAAGTCTAAACAGTCCGCCTACGCGTGCCACACACGCGAACTGAATGCAGCATAGGTGAAGTGGTGGTGGCGACCAAATACTTTCCAGATATAGGAACTAGGTTTGTTGTGATGATACTGCGGTGAGTTCTGTGGTGCAGTTTGTGTGAAGGGTGTATGCAGAGGCTGCAGGTAGTGGTGGAGCGACTGTCATGTGATAGATTCTCAAGTGAGTGACTAGGCGTATGCCTGATGAGCAAGTGCGGTTGCAATAGTGGCAGATGAGGTTTAAGTCCACTTTGATGGTGGAGGGTAGGTAAGGTCATATTACGCAAGACGGTATGGGTGTCCTCATTGTTTTTATTAGTGGTGGTGGTGGTGGCGACGGCGATGGTTTTGTGTTGTTTGATGAGAGTCGGCTTGGTCGTGTTTTAATTGAATCAGGTTTCGTCTGATCTGTAGAGAACAAGCGTGACACGAGAAATATATTTTCTGTCCGTGTGCTAGATGTGGGCGGTTTTGAGTGTGGTCTATGGACTTATGAGCTGGTGGGGTGAAGTGAGGCGTGGTGAGGTCTATTGGCCTGTGGTGTTTGCCGCAGGCATGTGGTTTAATAGGCCCCTGCGGGAGCTCAATGTCCGTAGTTAGTATGGTCGGTTGAGGTTGGTGCGACGGACGTATACTGGGGCTTCCGGCACCGATACACCAGACTCGGTGCGAGGGATTCGCAGTGACCGACTAGACTTATGCGTGAATCAACCTTGCTGTTACAGGCTACGCTCAGCACGGTTTCTAATCGCCAAAATGACTGTATACCAGTTTGCTTGGCCTGCGATTGTGCGGGCTGTAGCAGGCAATCACCAACCGAGGTCCTAAAGCGAATACGCGAACTAACTTGATTATATACTAACAATGATAGAGGAAACAAGCGTGGCGGCTGCATCCTGCCTACTTACTGTTCTTCTCCCTCAACCGTACCACTATTTTACGTCGTCACCCAGGTAAATGTTCGACACATATAAAGCCGAACCGTTAATGGTAAGGGAAAATATAATTTGGAAATAACACCAAAATATGCTTGGCCAGCGTTTTCCTATAAAGTCTCATTTGCTGGCGTGAAGATAGGATGGGCTGTTGAGCATCAGACTATACTCGACGTTTCGGCCCGCCTACAG